ATGATTCTAATTGTGTTGACTCTGTACATCCTAGTCCCTATGATGAAGTTCTTCAATCATCCTATATGGATGAGGTTTCTGAATTTGACACTTCTGTGATGAGCCACCAGACTGATGACACTGGTGTAGCTTTGTCCTCTGAGCCGGCTAATATTAGCAACCAGGGTGGCTTGGAATAGTTGTCACAGTCTCAGGAGGTTGGTCCAGGTGTTTCTGAACCTTCTGAGGGAAATAGCTCAGAAAATCTTGAACCATCTGGTAGTGTTAGGAGGTCTAATAGAGAGTCTAAAATGCCTTCTAGATTTGATGATTATATTGTAGAAGGTAAGTATAAGTATGGTATTGAAAAGACTTTAAATTATGCAAACTTAAGTCCTGAGAATCTTTGTTTTGTTTCAAACTTAAATAAACTGTTGAGCCTGGGAATTTTTTTGAAGCTTCTACTGATTCAAATTGGGTGACTGCAATGAATGAGGAAATGGAGGCTTTATATAGAAATAAAACCTGGGAAATTACAGATTTACCCCCTAATAGAAAGCCCATTGGTTGTAAATGGGTATACAAAATTAAGTATAAGTCTAATGGTGAGATAGAAAGGTTTAAAGCTAGATTAGTAGCAAAAGGTTATTGTCAGAAGGAGGTTATTGATTATGAGGAAATATTTTCTCCTGTTGCTAAAATGGTAACAGTTAGGGTTGTTGTTTCTTTAGCTGTTAGTAATTCCTGGAATTTATTTCAACTTAATGTAAATAATGCTTTTCTTTATGGGGATCTTGAAGAAGATGTTTATATGACTCTTCCTCAAGGGTATCATACACCTGGTGATACTCGTGTCTGTAAATTGTTGAAATCTTTGTATGGTTTAAAACAGGCTCCTATGAAGTGGAATGAAAAATTATGCTCTTCTTTGTTTGAATTTGGCTTTATTCAGAGTATGAATGATTATTCCCTGTTTGTCAAAAATAAAGGTGACACTATTGTCATTTTGCTTGTGTATGTTGATGATATTGTTATAACAGGTAATTATGAACTTGAAATTGTTAAAGTAAAAGATTTTTTAAAATCAAAGTATTTGATTAAAGATTTAGGAAGATTAAAGTTTTTTTTGGGTATTGAAGTTTTTGATAAAAATGATGGAATCTGCTTAACTCAACGAAAATACTGTTTGGAATTGATTCATGAGTTTGGTAAATTGGCTTGTAAGCCAGTTAAGACATCGTTGGATTTAAATTTTAATGTTTCTGAGAAAGGAATTGATGAAAAGGATGTTTTGTTAAGCAATATAACCGAATATCAAAAACTTATTGGAAAATTGATTTATTTGACTATTACTAGACCTGATATTTCTTTTACTGTTCAAACTCTTAGTCAATTTATGCATTCTCCTAGAAAGTCTCATTTGGATATTGCAATGCGTGTATTAAGGTATCTAAAACAAAGTCCTGGTAAAGGTATTATTTTTTTAAGGAATCAAAGTGTTTCTTTATGTGCTTATGTGGATGCTGACTGGGCTAAATGTATTTCTACCAGAAGGTCTGTTACTGGTTATTGTGTCTATTTTGGAAATTCTTTGATTTCTTGGAAAAGTAAAAAACAAGACACAGTTTCCAGGTCTTCTACTGAATTTGAATACAGGGCTTTAGCTTCTGTCACCTGTGAAATAATGTGGATTCTTAAATTGTATTTTGATTTGGGTGTAAAAAACTTGTTTCCTGTAAAGGTTTTTTGTGATAATGATTCTGCCATTAAATTGGCTCTTAATTCAGTTTTCCATGAAAAGACTAAACATTTTGAAGTAGATGTTCATTTTGTAAGAGACAGAGTTTCAAAAGGAATTTTGAAAATTGTTAAAATTGATTCAGAACATCAAAGAGCTGATATACTTACTAAGGCTTTGACATCAAAGCAACATGATTTTTTATGTTCTAAATTGGGGTTATATGATCTTTTTTAAAAATAAATAAATCAATGTGTATTAGTTTTGTTCCTCTCAATGTTTATCTTGAGGGGGGGTGTTAAAATATTGTGTTATTTATGGTTCAAGATTAACATTGAATGCTTTCCTAAAACTGGGTTGAAACTGTAAAACTTTGAGAAGTGGTTTACTAAAAGAATAAGAATGGATTTGTGTTATTTGGGTATATTGTGTTTGTTTCAGTAAGTGCAGGGGGTATAACATGATATCTGTATAAGAGAAGAAGCACGCGGATCTTTCAGGAAGGGTATGGATCGGGTTTATTCGGGTTTGGTTCGTGGATATTACCCGAGATATATATGTAAGCTCAGCCGTGTTATTTTGATCAATTCAATTCATTTTTACCATAACACACAAGTCGAGTCTCTCTGTTCTTGAGTCGTCTTCATCTTCATTGTTTTAGGGTTTGTTCAAGTTTAGAGTCTGATTCTTTGTTAAACTTGTTTTGTAGACTAAAACCTTTTTTGATTGTTGTGTATATTTGAGTGTGAGTGTTATTGTAGAGAGTTTTGAGTTGTAAGTTCGTGAAAACCCACTGGATCTTATTTCTCATTAATGAAAGATTTGTTGATGTTGTTGTTAGATTTGTTGTTTTGAGAGTTTTTATCAAGTACAAGTCATTTAATAATGTGAGTGGTTTTTATTTTTTGATATGATCACTTCTAAAAACCAACTTATTAAATATCTACAGCATCAAAAAATAAGATAAATGTACTATAAAATAGTTTTTTTAGTGCGGTTTCCCAAAACCGCACCATAAAATCATGTGGAAACCGCACCAAAAAACAATTACAACCGCACCAAAAATAATTTGCTCTAAAAAACATTGAACCGCACCAAAAAAACAATTCGCACTAAAAAATATTGAACCGCACCAGTAATCTTTCCTCTAAAAATTTCATTCAAATTTTTCATTTCGCGCTAGATCCCTCCAATTCATTCAAAATTTTCATGTTTTTCAAATTTTCATTCAATCTTCCCTTTTTTATATAACGTTGGAGATACAACCTCTTCTCATAATTATAGATTTGTCGATTCTATACTTAAAAACGCATGTGAGGTATGTCTATTATTTATCTTCTTTTCATTAATGACATTTTTGAATCCATTTTTCTCTTATTAATTGTAAATAGATGTCCGATTTAAAGTTTTAACGATGTTTTCTTGTTCTGAATCTCTGCAGATGCCTCTTCTTCCGTGACATATCTCCAAAAAACGATCCAAAGACTTATGATGTTCGCTTCGGTGACTTTCAATCAATGGGTACGGAGCTAGTTTTTGCAGAGTGAGTTTTAAGATGTTGTCGAAAAAGAGATTGAAAACAACGTTGATGAAATGTGATTTCCCAATAAGAGATTTTTAATTGGTAGAGAAAAAGAAATTACAAAGATTGAAACCACCTTTTTTGGAGAAGCTAAAATCAAAGAAGGGACAACTAGAACCTCTAATGGACCAGCAGTTGAGGAAAGCGAAGTTGATGGAATCATAGTAGAAAGCTCAAAAACCAGATTAAGATATTACGATTGAACCATTGATTGAAAAATACTCACCGAACATACCTAAATATAAGAAAATGAAGTTTCATAAGGAGTGTGGTGTGCATCAATGACGAACCTGTTAATTGGTTTTAGCTAGCTATTTTTTGAGGCGGTTTGGTTATTTTTTGGTGCGATTTTGGCTATTTTTGAAACGGTGGCGATTTTTAGTGCGATTTTTGCTATTTTTTGGTACGGTTTTGACTATTTTTTAGTGCGGTTTTGGAACCGCATTATCAAATAATGATAATTTTTTATGCGATATTTTTTTGGTGCTGTACAATACCCGCATCAATTAATTATTTTAACTGCATCAACAAATACTTTAGAACTAATAAGTGTTGGAGGTTATTATTTTGACTGTCATATCGATGTTATGGCTTTACAAAAACTACGTCATTTTCCAATTCATCAAGTTCCCAAAGAGTAGCATTGTAGAGAAGATTAATTTGACGGCTTTTGAGTGGTTGGCTAATAGGAACAAGAGGATTAAGGTTTCCAAGTTACTTTGGCTACAAACCCTTTATGTTTATTTCTATGTAATTTGTTTTAATCTAGCTCTCTGCTAGTGTGTTTTATAAAATCATTAAGCTATTAAAAAAACATTTTCAAATCTTTTTTCGTCCATCTTTTCCATATATAATTTTTTTTATCGAAATTTTATTTTTATACTTTTGTGGTCCACTTGATATGATATAATCGTCATCGTCATATATGTAGACTGTTGACATTTGTAATCACATTCAATATACGAATTGCAAAAAGGTTGCTCCCCGCGTTAAAGTTACGTTTTGGTCCCTTATATATATTTTTTATAGTTTTCATTTTTATTAATTTCAAACGAATTTTTCGCTGCATAAGCAGGATGAGTTATAAAGTAGTTATTATTAAATTATAATCTAATTTTATATTTGTCCTATGTAGTTATGTCAAACTTTTTGCTAAATATTTAACCATTCAATTTTTATTTTTTGTGCCAAGGTTTTCAAATTTTGTAACTCTTTAACTATTTACCGATTCGAGAATCCATCATGCATGATTAAATATAACGATGGAATCGGATGAAATACCTACTTAACATAGAAAAGAAATACAAAAAAATAAACGTAACAATATCGAAATGCCATGTTGGTATAAAATGGAATAAAAGTTAGAATCCATTATAGAAATTAAATAAGAAAGCTGTATGCCATAATTATTGTTACAAAATAATATTAGTAAATCAACATTGTCATGCTCTTAGTTTGACGTAAAAAAAGATGCAAACAATAAATTAAGTTCCTACCTGTCAACTATACAAATTACAAAAGATTAATTTTTCCACGTGTGTCATCATATAATAATCTATACATTAATAAATCATACAAATGTTAGATCATACGGGTCGAATTAAACCACGCTAATTAGCAATCGGGTAAACTGGGTCAGCTCCAATTTCAAGAAACCGATCCTTGAATTGAAAGCGTTTGAATTGATCGTGGTTAATTAGTTTATTCATGTTTACCATTAGTGGCCGATGATTCCAGAGCTTTCCTACGAATCCAACGCATTTTGACGAAGGAATTCAAGAACATGAATAGGAATGCACCATTGAGGATGGAATTGAAAACCCACGCCCCAATTCCATTGCACCCACCTTTCCATACTTGCAAGAACAAAACCCCACAATGGCAAATCAAATTCAAACCCAACAAGATTATCTGAATGTTGGCCACCAGTGGAAACGACGCCGTTGGTAATCCTAATTCCGTCCATAACCTGTACCCGTAAACAATGGAATACGTGAATGTGGTGAAGACGATTTCCAGTACTTGAAACGATTGTGAGAATTCCAGCCATAGGAACGACATAACCATTGGAATGGAATTAGTGAAGAGTTGGAATAAAGAGAGTCTACGACGTCGTAAGATGGTGAAGAACGTCCGGATCACGTGAAGGTAACGTGACAGGTAGAAGACGTATGACCAGAAGAATACGCGCCCTGATGGGCGCGTGCCGAGTGGGAAGCAAAGAAGCCATTGGAGTGGGGTTTTTGAGCGGCCCCAGAGCCACCGCGTGTCTCGGATCTCGGCGGCGGCGGAGGTCAATGTACCGACGAGTATGGTAGCGGAGATGATTGACATGGCCAGGCTGTGGAGAGCAGGGATGGGGCCGAGGGGTACTGGGCGGGTGCGGTGGCGGAAGAGGAGGAGAAGGAGGTGGAGGACGACGGAGACTGCGAAGTAGACGGCGATGGAGGAGAAGAGGAAGACCCATGTGGCTCCCCAAGACTGGGCGTGGCTCCAACGGAATCCGACCACCGTGGGGTGCTCCGATAGAAGGTATAACAAGAAGGATGATGTTGATGGGTTAGATTGCATTTTTACGACGGAGAATTTGGGGAAGATGAAAATGGACAAATGAGAATTTTATATACAGGTGGGTAATCGCATTGAAGTTGATTGGGTCTTGGTAATCGTGGAAAAGGGTGTTTGACTTTTTGAATATGAATTCATAGGGTGAATATGAATTGAATCAGCCATGGCATGCTGATGTTTAAGCTTACTTCATTATGGAATGTTCTTCTGTGTTTCTTCTTCTTCTTTTAGCAGCCCTTTCACGAAATTTGATTCTGTTAAATAGTAATGTTTCTCTTTTAAAAGTAAATTACAGGATTCCGAACTAGTAATTATGGTTTGGTTAAATCATTCTTTTGATATGATTTTATTGTCTTTTGTGTCTATGATAGAGGAGAAAAATATATTGTCGTCACACCTAGGGGTTTGTTTTGCGACCTAGTAAGAGATAATGTCTAACTCGGTCGGATTTTTTGCAAAAATTTTATCTTTTATTTTGTTAGCAGCCTTTTACTAGGTAATTTTTAAAAAATAGTTAACCTAGGACTATTTGCCCCTTTGTGCCCTCAAGTCTCTTCTTACTTTACATCTCCAGCTTCCAACGCCCCTATCTACTTATGCCTCTAGTCGATCCAGCCACTCGAGCTTCATCCACCGAACGTCGATGTCTAGCGATTCGCCAATTTCCATTGCCGACATCCGACGACTTCCATAGTCGCCGTAGGTAGCAACACCGTCAGAGGAGGTTCGCCGAGCACCATCAGAGCAGGTTCGCCGACCACAGTAGTTTTGTTGATCATCAACTTCTTTTGCCATTCCTCCGTTATCGTCTGACGACGTACTCAAACATTATTTCTTCTCTTAAGAAAAACAAAACAAAAAACAAAATGAAATATGAATGTTGAAATCTTTTCTACTTGTTGCATATTTTCCTGCTATCTTGCTTAAATTAGATAGATATACAAATACATAAACTAGAAACTGAAACTAGATACATATATAATCTTGGTTTTTTTTCCTAATTTCTCTAATAGCATGATTGTTGCTTTTTTATATGTGGTAGATAATACCTGAATTTATGAACTTTGTATGTTATTATGAACTTATATGTTGAATTTTGTTTTATTTTCTGAAATTGTAGGAGATTGTGTTAGAAATAGTGTTCACAACAATTTGTAATAATATTAATAATGGTAAAAGGTCTTTTTGGGTTACACAATAACAAAATTAATCAATTAATGACATAAAAGAATTATAAAGATCTAGTTTGTTAATTAATTGAATATATAATTAGTTAATGAAAACTTGTAGATTACCATAGGCTTATGTTTAAAGATTTGAAAGTCAAATCTTTCATATAATTAATTGCCTTATAGATAATTACTAGATAATAAAGTTATTATCTAATAAGGAACACAAATCCCACCTTATCATTCCAAGTGGAAAAACCCTCTAGAAATCCACATCCCTCTTCTCTCTCTAAATCTCGAAGAAGCCCGAAGAGCACAACACACCTCAAGAACATATCAGTTTCTATTTGTTGGTTTGATTCCAAAAGTGGTTGGATTGCTATTCTGACTTCTTTGGTGTTGGATCTATATGCTCAAGAATATTTTTAGAATGATATTGCTTATAACATATGATCGTACAGAATCACACATTTATCAAGTAGTCACTTATTGAATATTTATTATAATTTGATTATTAATAAATATTATTAGTTCTTATATTTAATTGGGAATTATTATTTTATGAAAATAATATTTCAAGAGATATTAACTAAGTATTAACTCAAATGGTGTGATTTAATAAGTTATGTACATGATTTTGGACATTTACATGTTCACTACATAAATACATGTTAATATAAGTATATGAGATGAAGTGTAAAACACGTCATCCCCTCTCATATCTCCTATGCGGCCGAACCCATCAAGAAATGGGTTGTGGTTGCTTATTTGGCTATCTCTTACACATATCATGCATCTTTGATGTCATGCCTTTGACCTTTGTGAAGCTATGACTCTTAGATCTTATGTGTAGTCGTAAACAATAGAATACATGAATGTGGTGAACACGATTTCCAGTACTTGAAACGATTGTGATAATTCCAGCCATATAAACGATATAATCATTGAATGTATTAGTAAAGAGTTGGAATAATTAGAGTCTACGACGTCGTAAGATAGTGAAGAACGTTTGGATCATGTGAAGGTAACGTGACAGGTAGAAGACGTATGACTAGAAGAATATGCACCCTGATCAGCGCATGCCGAGTGGGAAACAAAGAAGCCATTGGAGTAGGGTTTTTGAGCTGCCCCAGAACCACATCGTGTCTCGGATCTCGGTGGCGGCGGAGGTCAATGTACCGGCGAGTATGGTAGCGGAGATGATTGACATGGCGAGGCTGTGGAGAGAAGGGATGAGGTCGAGGGGTACTGGGCGGATGCGGTGGCGGAAGAGGAGGATGAAGAGGTGGAGGACGACGAAGACTGTGAAGTAGACGGCGATGGAGGAGATGAGGAAGACCCATGTGGCTCCCCAAGGTTGGGCGTGGCTCCAACGAAATCCGACCACCGTAGGGTGTTTCGATAGAAGGTATAACGAGAAGGGTGATGTTTATGGGTTAGACTGCATTTTTACGATGGAGAATTTGGGGAAGATGAAAATGGACAAATGACAATTTTATATACAGGGGGTAATCGCATTGCATTTGATTGGGTCTTGGTAATCGTGGAAAAGGGTGTTTGACTTTATGAATATGAATTCGTAGGGTGAATATGAATTTAATCAGCAATGACATGCTGATGTTTAAGCTTACTTCATTATGGAATGTTCTTTTGTGTTTCTTCTTCTTCTTTTAGCAGCCCTTCCACAAAATTTGATTCTGGTAAATTTGTAAGGTTTCTCGTTTTAAAAAAAAAATTATAGGATTCTGATCTGAACTGGTATTATGGTTTGTGGTGGGATGTCAGGTCCACCAAGAAAATTACACCCTTTGTTTTCAAATAAAACATAATATAATGGTAAAAAGGGGTATCAATCCTCGGGGAAATTGTTGTATTCAATCACCAATGCAATCCAATAGAACTAGTGTAATAAAACTAACTAACTACAATTAAACTAAATGGGAGGGGGTGTGATTGCTTGAAAACTAAAACACTTGAATAACTAAAAAGCTTGCAATTAAGCAAGATGGTGAGATGCTCAAATATTGGAGATAATTGGTCAACCAAGGCAATTCAACACAATGAACATTTGTGTGTTTATCATTAGGATTCAATATGAAGCTTATCATTCATCCCAAATTTGTTATAGCAGTCATGAAGCATGATATGCTAAAATTCCTCATAGGTAGTATGGAGGTTGGGGAAGCCCACAACACCTTCTTAATCAAAATCAAGGATTCCATTGAAGCAATTGAACCCAAGAAAGTTAATTAGCCTTAAGAATGAAGGAATCCCGAATTCCTAGAGGATGTCAATGCTTACACATCCATAAAGGAGTCATGATTCATAAGCTAGAGATGATTTCTACCATCATAAAGCCATTGTTCTAAGTAAATTCAATGATTCAATGCAAAACCAATTAAATAAACCAACAATTGCCCATTCAAGTACCAAACTCATGATCAAAGTATTAAACAAGCATAAAAAAAATGAACTAGGATCATAAACATAAGATAAATGATAATTAAGCATGAATCCTTCAAAACCCACAAATATCCAAGGGTTTTAGCCAAAGTTAACCAAAATAAAGAAACTAGCCACTCATGGCAACAAAATAACAATCACAAAAGTGTTTTTGCATCAAGAAACTAACAATTACTTAGAAAGATGAGAAGAATGTGTATCAAGTTCCAAAAATCGCCTCGAATGGTCTCTAATGGTGTAAAATCTAAGTATGTGCTTGAAAGACCTAACCCCCAAGGTAAATGGTGAGCAAAATGACCAAAATGCCCAAAAGTGTGCGGTTGCGCGGGTACCCTCGCAAGTGTTGCGCGACTGAGACTCCACCCTCGCAAATGATGTTGGAATGCTATTGGCTCTTTGTCTCCACTACACCACCCCACTTCTCAAGATTCCCTTGGTCCCCTCTACACCTCACATGATTCAAATTTGGCCAATCATCTTCAAGCTTCAAAATATGGATAGTCCAAGCCCAAAATAAGAATCCAAGACCCATATTCATAAGCCCACTTCATCCAAGTCTTCAACTTTTTAAGCCCAAATCTTCTTTGATGGATCCAGAAAGCCCAATAATGCCTCAAAAGCCCACAAAGCTCGTCTCCAAGCTAATCCACAGCCGCAACGAGCTCCAAAAACCCTGCAAAATTCCTCATGCAAAATAGAAAGTAGCCGATACAATCCAAGATAGAGAATAGAAAGAAAATGCAATGAAATAATTAAAAAAATCAATAAAAATGCTAAAATAAACTATATAAAAGAAAGAAATAAAACAAACTATCAATTTGCTCAAAATTATGTTTTTGGTCCTTAATTTTTATTTGAAAACTGAGTAATCTAACTATATTTTAGTTTATTATCAATAAGAACAATCAACTTTTTTTTTTTTGAGAAATTAAATATCATTCTCTTTATTTTCTTATTCATATAAAATAATGACAAATATCTTAAAGCATTATTAATTTTATCAAAATGTGACACGTGTCACAATCTCACATGGGTAGGAAAATAAGTAACAAGAAAATGTAGGAGAATATTTATTTTATTTATTGAAAACTAACTATTATGTCTAGAATGATCATTTCGGGCTAGAACAAAATGAGTCAAGCATAGTACTGTAGCCCAATTCTATATATATGAGCCGACACAAAACAATCGGAATAAGCATTCCGGAAAGTGAAATTGCAAAGCTTTGCTACTGACATTTCGAACGGAGTTTTTTAAGCTTATAAAATATAGATTCAACAAAACAGGTGAGTTCCACTCTTTAATTTACTTGCATTTTATTTTACAAACAGTTGTATGTATTCTGGAATGCGTAGAACATTTTCGAAATACGAAGAACTAGTTTGGAATATCTAGTTTTGTATATGTTTTAATGTTTTACACACATAAGAACCATATAAGCACTTTAAAGTATGTTTAACACCATTTTTTAGCGAAGAAATAAGTATGGATTAGCCATTACATGTGATTTCGGAATGATAGGCTCAATCCGGAATACGAAGAACGAAGTCTGGAATACAAAGATCAATTTCAGAATGACACTCCGAAATAACAATTGAATATTTGTTATTTTTGTTTCTGGTATTTTTAAAGAAATTTTGATATTTGTTTGCGTTAAACCAATACCTCGTATTAGTCTGAAGATTAATTTGCATGAATGTCGTTAAAAAAAAAAGGTTTTAAGGACGAGGAAATTGTATTCCATTTAGATAATCTTTAAAAATTGACCTGATAAAGGTAAAATATTAAAATGATGTTGATTTTTTTTTTGAAAAAAAAGTAAACCATCAAGGGCACCTATAGAATTAAGAAAGAAATCAAAAAGGATGTTAAAGATTAAATTGAAAGAAGATAGAACTCTGAAAGATGGGACCGGAGCAAGTTTAGAAAAACCTATTATTTTAGACTAGTTGCGAATTTATAATTTTTGTTATGGATACGGTTCTATAAGTTGGTTTTAGTGTTGGAACATTCTTTTTTTTTAATATTTTTTAATTTCTGTCTCCAACATCTAGTAAATCGATTGATGAGGATGAGTTGTCAATAGAATATGAAATACTACGTCCTGAAGACGAACAACGACGCCTTGTTGATACGAATACGCTAGAAATAATTCGTGATTATCAATGTGTGAAACAACGAATGGTAATACTGAAAATCTCATTACCACCTTCTACGGTTGAGGAGCATAGAAAACTAGCATTGTATAATACGCAAATGCTCCTCATTACGATGTCTGAAGATATACGACAGTTAGTGAACATAATGGACATCATCGAAGAAGCACGTAGGACAAGTGCAACAAAAGAAGAACGAGTGCAAATGACTAATAATGGGTTCAGCCTAATTGATAACTACATGAAATTGTTTGAAATCATGTAGACATTGTTAGTTTGCACCGGACAAAAGTTCTCAGTTATCCTCAATATATACTCTAATTTTAAATATTGTAATGTCATTTTAAACTTAATTATGTAAAATAAATTGTAGGGTCTTCTAAAATGACAATGCTTTTCATTAACATTAGTTAAATGATCGTTACAAAATCTATTACATTTATTGGTTTTTCACAAATTAGGAAATTGTAAGGGATACATATTTATTCGCGGTCGATAAAATCTCCTCTAATTCTAACAACATTTGTTAGACGGTCTCATTCTGCCCGAAGCTTATCAATCTCTGCATTTGCATCTCGAATCCACTTCTCAGTTTCTTTGACTTTTTTTCAGAGTTTCATAAACCTATTTTTCTTTTTATTTACTTGTTTCGCTAGATCGTATGCACGTTGATTGAGTGTTTGACTAATTTCAGAGTCCCTTTTGTTGGCTTCTTCGGCGGCCATCATAACTTCGAAAATGGAATCAGACATTTTATCCAGGAGTGGAAAATATGGGCCTGCCAGAAACGGGTTAATACCCGAACAAACATAACAATCTTCTTCTTCAAAATGTCAAACACCAAACTCAGATGAACTCATTCTCAAGTTTTTACTTTGCTAATGTACTACGTTTACGATGTATGGTACCTCCATACTAATAGTGTAAATTTGTAAGAAATTATAGTGTTTCTGGAATATGTGTTCGGAATAGAGTGTCTAGAACGGTGTGTCTGGAACGTGTCTTCGGAATTTGTGTAACGACTCAAAAATCAATCTGTTAACGATGTTAGTTTTCTGTTACTCGAATATTAATTGTTGTAAATTTATTTCAGTTCTAATAGAATAGAATGAGATAAATAAATAATCAGGATGTTAATTAGAATGGGAGCTAAGGTGGAAGGTTAGGGACTGTGATGCAAAATTCGCACATAATCCCCATGAATGTGTCGATTGGGTTAAGGAGCCATCGTATGTTTTTTTTATCTATGGCTTATATGTGCACAACAAGACCAATTCTAATCGCTCTTGGTCTTTTGATGCTGCGTAGA